GTATCGCTTACTGCCTCATTTCTGTCCTCCTCTCATTGGCTCAACATTACGACTGTCTGGGGAATCAAACCTGCGTCATCTTGATGTCAGCACGCAGATTTGAGACTCCAGAGAAAAAGGACCCAGTCCTACACAGTGATTGGTCTGTTTGAAATGACTGTGCTCTCTCTGGTATTGTCCTCTGCTCTCTGTAACTCAGAGTAAACCTTTATAATGAGCATAAGTCAATCTGATCCAGCAGTCCCTGAAAAATAAACGGCATCACATTTATGAGCCGTTTGTCGTCGTCTCCAGGTGTAATCGTTTTTACTATCAGCACCGAGCATCTCTGGCACAAACACTTCCTTCAGGCTGCATTAGATCTATTAGATATTCAGTATTAATGGATCGACTCACGACTAATTGGAGTCGAGGACGTGAGATGCACTCTGAAACGCTCTGCTGGTAACGAGCAGACAAACTGTGTTTAATGAGCTCAAAGACTTCCTGTTAAAACATGAGTCAGAGATGTGACTTTTAAAGAGCTGAAATCTGTTAACCAAATGAAGCGCGCCGCTGTTAACGAGCACGCCACTGTTAACGAGCACGCTGCTGCTAACGAGCACGCCGCTGTTAACGAGCACGCCGCTGTTAATGAGCACGCCGCTGCTAACAAGCACGCTGCTATTAATGAGCGTGCTCCCGTTAACAAGCATGGTGCTGTAAATGAGCATGCACAGCGCTGGTAATGCACAAGCCACTGTTAACAAGCACACCACTGCTAATGTGCGCTTCACTGTAGATGAGCGCGCCACTGTTAACAGCCACCTGCTATTAATGTGTATGGCACTGTTAATGCGCACGCTGCTGTTAATGCGCACGCTGCTGTTAATGCGCACGCTGCTGTTAATGCGCACGCTGCTGTTAATGCGCACGCTGCTGTTAACAAGCTGGACTTTAAGCAGCTGTAATGGTTCATGTTACTAAGCAACAACTTTGCCTCAGGGATTTCTGGAAGAAAATTCTTATGAAGAAATTTCTGTGCAGAGTGTTTGACACAAAACTTTCATCACATGTGTGTGTGTCATTTTCAGACCACACACACCATCACTGGCTGTACACACTGGAGTGTGTGTTTCCACAGCAGCCACAGATCCTTCCCTCTGCATCCTTTCAGGATGTTTCCTTTAACTGAGTCAAAGTGACGCGGAGCTGTCGATGCGCTCATGATGCTAAATGTGTGTTTTGTAGCTCTGACCCATGTGAAGCTGTGGGCCATCGACCGGCAGTGCTTCCAGACCATCATGATGAGAACCGGACTCATCAAACACGCCGAGTACATGGACTTCCTGAAGAGGTGAGAAACTGCCATTAAAAGTCGATGACAGAGTCAACAATGCCAGAGTTTAGGAAAAGTTTTACAAGTAAACCCAGAAACCTTCTCAGGCTTACAAAGCTTATTTTGTTTATTAATTGTATTTATTATTTATTAGTCTGTTAGTCGGTGAAAGTAAAGCACATGTAGGTAAACTTCAACACAGCTGTCCACAGATGTGTCTTAAGGAAGGACACCAACCAAGAGTCCAGTTTCCTGTGAGAAATACATTCATTCATTATAAATGAGAACATTTCAAAACTAAAATGGAATAAATATGTTGATGTATTTACCAGAACAATTCAGGTTGTAATAATATTCACATTATGAATAATATAAATGTGATAATATAAATATATACTATAACATCAGTGAGAAATAGAAAGAGTCTCATAACGTGATCGTATTCTCGTCTTCGCTGTCGTCGGCTCTTCTGTTTTACAGACTTTAAGTATTTTTGTAGCGGTTTGTTTGAATCAGCGGAGCGATCAGAAGCTCAGCTGAAGATTAAAAGTCTGTGCTTTTTGTATATGTCACAAATACTCACCGTCCCTCCACAGTGGTTACTCAGAGTTGCATTATTGGTCCTCTGGTCAGACAAACAGACTCCGTGATGAGGAACATGGCTCCATTCATCTCGTATTTATTATCTTTTCACAACAAACTCCAACTTTTGAGTTTGAATCATTCCTGTCTGTGTCTGCAGCGTTCCCACCTTCCAGAGTCTTCCTGAGGAAACTCTCAGCAAACTGGCGGATGTCATGGAGGAGGTGAGTTTGTACCCGCCCCCTCGTCTTCTTCTGTGGGAGTGGGCCTGTAAATACTCCAATCAGATGCTGTCTTCTGGGTTTAGACTCATTATTCGGATGGAGAGTACATCATCAGACAGGGAGCCCGAGGAGACACCTTCTTCATCATCAGCAAAGGGAAGGTCAGTCCATCCTCCTCTTCGTCTTCCTCTCATTCGTTTCCTAGTGACTGATCTGCCCGCTCATCCTCATCCAATACATCCTCACAGGTGAATGTGACCCAGGGGGATTCAGCCACCCAGCAGCCTGTACACCTCAGGGAGCTCGTCAAGGGAGACTGGTTTGGAGAGAGAGCACTACAGGGGTAAGGTCACGTGACCCAAATATGTTATTTTATTACGTTAGGCTGGTTTAAAATTCGCTCTGAAGAACAGAAGGTGCGGCTCAGTTCACTCTGACGGCCCTGAAAGACGTCAGCTCACACAGACAAAACAAAATGTTTTTGACAGTTCATCAAACCTTCTGTTTGTCAGGGGCAGCCAGTCAGAAAAGGGGGGAGGGGCTAAAACGTTTGGTTTTAGACTGAGGGTGACGTGAGATGGGAGGTGGGAAGGAGCAGAATCAGTGTCCAGATGGTGGCGCTGCAGGGAGGATGATGATGTCACCGACATGTTTAGGATTCTGTGGGCTGCACCTTCACACACACACACACACACACACACACACACACACACACACACACACAGCTCCTCATAACGCCGTCTCTGAGTGAGTTTGACAGGAAATGAGGTCACCGGGAGCACTTTAATGGGACGCTTGTTTCCCATCTTTGTGAGGACCGGCTGCAGCATGTGGACGTCCTGTCCAAATAGATTTCATCTCAGCTAAAACACCTGGAGGAGAATCTGGCGTTGGCGGCTCAGAAGCTTCGAGGTGGAGCGAGATGAGGCGTGTCGGAGTCCGCACATGTGAAGTCGGAACATGTGTGCGCTTTGCTAACCTCCTGCCATCATCGCAGCTGCTGCTAATTGGTTTGAAGTGTTTCTCTGTTTCCCCGCGGAGCGCCGTTCACACACCGGCCCATCTGCGAGTGTCTGTATCAGTGTGAGCGCCTCGGTCTCAGAGCTTTTCTGTAAAGAGCTGGAAGGAGCTCACACTGACTCATTTATTCAGACAGCAGGAGGCTGAAGGCCACGCTGCAGCTTCACCGCAGGCCAAAGTCCACGTTCAACCTCGGAGGACTCACCTACATCGCTCCGTCATGTGGACCAACCCAACACAGCGCAAGCGTCACCTTTTTAAAATCAAAAGAATTAAAGGTGCAAGCTTTCTCATCTGTTGGGTATTTGTGGCCCGAGGTCGTCGGTTTGATTCCCTTTGCGTTGAAGCGTCTTTGAGCTGCACGCTGAACCCTGAAAGACATAATTCAAAATTCCACAAGCAACAAATTTCATAAAAATTCAGAAAAAGACAGATGAGAGGTGGTGGAGCTGGATGGGTTTAAGTACCAGGGGTCAAAGAAGTGCTGCAGGGTGGAGTGGGTGGAGACAAGTGTCAGAGGTCAGAGGGAGAGCAACATGAGTGAAAGGGAAGGTTTAAAGATGGAGGTGAGCTGAAAGTGTTCAGATGTTCAGTGAGCAGGAAAACAATGGTTTGGTTTCTGAGTTTGTTTCCAAATTAACACGTGAACCAAACTTGAAGCTCAAGTGAAACATGAACAAGAACAGGTGTGTTTTTCTTCTTGACCTGAACCCTGTTAGGGAGCGGGCGGCCATCCCAGAACCAATCAGGAAGCACCAGCACCTGCCGGTCGACTGACCTCAGCGAGCAGCAGGACATGAAGCTGTCTGGCCTGATGGATGTTCAGGGGGAAGCCCCTCCAGCTGCTGAACGTGAGGGAAGGCTGTTAAAGTGTGAGCTGCAGTCAGGAGTCCAGCAGCAGTATGAAGCAGCCCGAGCCGCGATAAAAGCTTCTTACTCGGTCTGTCAGGGTCTGCTCTGCATGACCGATCCATCCGTTTCCCCCTCGTTAGCCTCGAGCCTTGAGGTGTCACTCTCTCACGATTCCCACCATCCGACAAACCTGGGAGCAGAGCGAGGTCTCCTCCATGACAGATGCCTCTAAAGGATCTGTGAGTCGAAATGAAAGCAGTGCTCGTACAGGAAAACAGCACTTCATTCATATTTCATTACACTGGTGCAGTCTCGGAGCCACTGCTGTGCAATCAGCCTTTTACCTCAGCATAACGTGTGTGTGTGTGTGTGTGTGTGTGTGTGTGTGTGTGTGTGTGTGTGTGTGTGTGTGTGTGTGTGTGTGTGGTCCACAGGGAGGATGTCAGAACAGCCAACGTGGTTGCCACGGAGCCGGTCACCTGCCTGGTCATCGACAGAGAGTGAGTCGTTACATTTTGTTCACTCAAACTCACCTGTGCGTGCTGCGGTGGCGCTCGTGTGTCACCTGAGCAGGTGAACCTGTCGGCCGTTTTTCCTCCTTCACAGCGCCCTCACTTTGTGTCTGACTGTTTAAACACACAGAGTGGAGCTGCAGAGTGAAGCTCCTGCTGCCCCCTGCTGGGCCTCACAGCTAACTACACACACAGCGCAGCATATGAAGCTCTTTACTTTTCTTTTCTTCCATAAAATGAGCTCAAAGAGAAAAAACAAACACAAAGTGCTGATTTTTAAATGAGCACACAGGTGTTAAACAGTTTGACTGCAGTTTGGGGGATTTTTATTCCCAGTGGTGGAGATGATTAACAGGAACTTACAGACAAAGAAGCCGGAGCCCCGTCTGGGACAAATGATTTCACACTTTCTTTCTGTCATGAAATTAGTACATGAAAGTACCCCCCCCCCCCCCCATAATTAAAGCTTTCAGTACTAAGGTGCTAAATGAATTAGCTCATTATTTGGCTGAGGTGGTTCACATGATAAATGAAAGTGATTGTTTACCTGCTAACGCTGGCTGTGTTTCCACACAAAGTGCAGATCGTACTGATGTCAGAGCAGTGAAAGCAGAGCTTAGCGACAGATTAGCTACACGCTAATCTTCCATCAGCCTCCCATCAAAGTCCAGAGGTTCATCAAAAATGCACATGTGCAAACACGATGCTTGACAAGCTTAGTGTTGTCCGATTAACAGGACACAGACACAACCACGATGACATGAACCCCACACGGAGTTCAGCGGCTCCATAATCAGGTGGAGTTCATTCTTTTTTCTTTTTTTCTTTTTTGTCTGTCCTGTTTGGATCTTTAGCATCAGAATTGTTGTCTGAAGGCCAAGAAAGGCCAAGAAAGGCCGAGCGGATTTACTTTACCAAGTGGATCATCATGGCCTTGCCATGTTGGTCCATTTGATTGAACTTTATTATAATTATGTATTTATTTTATTTTGTTTTCAGTTGTTACAAACGGGACAGACATGACTGGGAGACAGAATGAAAGAAAGAGAGGGGAGAAGAGACGGTGAGAAAGGGGGGAAGAAACATACATACATGAGCGCCCAGCCCCAGTCGACAAGGACCACCAACACACCAACATCTGAGGGCATCAGCCACCGGCAGGGAGTGTGGTGAGGGGAGATCGGCCTCCGTACTTTGGATGGCCTGAGATGTTCCCAGAGAGGTGGAGTCTAAGACCCAACCTGACATATAGACACAGACGAACAGGCGCACGCGGACACAAACGTGCATTCCCACCCCATATACACAACCAAACACTCGGCACTCACCCAACGTGTAGACAGACACAAACAGACACTGTGCACACAGTCGCACTCCCCAAACATACCGTATATTCCATGTGCAGGTACCCCGCCCCCAGAGGGGCAAACCGTACCTGGACCCAGGAGGTGTAACCCTTCTCTCTGGGGTGGAGGAAAGCGGACCGCCTCCTTATCTGCAGTAGCAGGGAGGCCCCGCATCCCAGTCTGACGGTTAACAGAACCGGGGTGAGTGAAGACCCCAAACCTCCCTCCGCCCGCTCATATGTAGTGTTGCTGCGTGCTGTTCTCAAGTGCATTTAAAACACAGGACGGCATGGTGCTTCCTGCCAGAGAGCAGCACGGCTCCTCCCGAAAACCCTCAGTGTGTATATGCATTTAAAATTGAGGGCTGGGCACCAGCGCCAGAGGTGGGTTTGAATACACAGACCGTCCTCTGGACGCGGTATGACGTGCCCACCCCCAACGCCCTATACAGTGGGGCAAAAAAATATTTAGTCAGCCACCGATTGTGCAAGTTCCCCCACTTAAGATGATGACAGAGGTCAGTAATTTGCACCAGAGGTACACTTCAACTGTGAGAGACAGAATGTGAAAAAAAAATCCATGAATCCACATGGTAGGATTTGTAAAGAATTTATTCGTAAATCAGGGTGGAAAATAAGTATTTGGTCACCTCAAACAAGGAAAATCTCTGGCTCTCACAGACCTGTAACGTCTTCTGTAAGAAGCTTTTCTGTCCCCCACTCGTTACCTGTATGAATGGCACCTGTTTGAACTCATCATCTGTATAAAAGACACCTGTCCACAGCCTCAAACAGTCAGACTCCAAACTCCGCCATGGCCAAGACCAAAGAGCTTTCGAAGGACACCAGGAAAAGTATTGTAGACCTGCACCAGACTGGGAAGAGTGAATCTACAATAGGCAAGCAGCTTGGTGTGAAAAAATCAACTGTGGGAGCAATCATCAGAAAATGGAAGACATACAAGACCACTGATAATCTCCCTCGATCTGGGGCTCCACGCAAGATCTCATCCCGTGGGGTCAAAATGATCATGAGAACGGTGAGCAAAGATCCCAGAACCACACAGGGGGACCTGGTGAATGACCTGCAGAGAGCTGGGACCAAAGTAACAAAGGTCACCATCAGTAACACACTACAACGGCAGGGAATCAAATCCCGCAGTGCCAGACGTGTTCCGCTGCTGAAGCCAGTGCATGTCCAGGCCCGTCTGAAGTTTGCCAGAGAGCACATGGATGATACAGCAGAGGATTGGGAGAATGTCATGTGGTCAGATGAAACCAAAGTAGAACTTTTTGGTATAAACTCAACTCGTCGTGTTTGGAGGAAGAAGAATACTGAGTTGCATCCCAAGAACACCATACCTACTGTGAAGCATGGGGGTGGAAACATCATGCTATGGGGCTGTTTTTCTGCCAAGGGGACAGGACGACTGATCCGTGTTAAGGACAGAATGAATGGGGCCATGTATCGTGAGATTTTGAGCCAAAACCTCCTTCCATCAGTGAGAACTTTGAAGATGAAACGAGGCTGGGTCTTCCAACATGACAATGATCCAAAACACACCGCCCGGGCAACAAAGGAGTGGCTCCGTAAGAAGCATTTGAAAGTCCTGGAGTGGCCTAGCCAGTCTCCAGACCTCAACCCCATAGAAAATCTGTGGCGGGAGTTGAAAGTCCGTGTTGCTCGGCGACAGCCCCAAAACATCACTGCTCTCGAGAAGATCTGCATGGAGGAATGGGCCAAAATACCAGCTACTGTGTGTGCAAACCTGGTAAAGACCTATAGTAAACGTTTGACCTCTGTTATTGCCAACAAAGGTTATGTTACAAAGTATTGAGTTGTATTTTTGTTATTGACCAAATACTTATTTTCCACCCTGATTTACGAATAAATTCTTTACAAATCCTACCATGTGGATTCATGGATTTTTTTTCACATTCTGTCTCTCACAGTTGAAGTGTACCTCTGGTGCAAATTACTGACCTCTGTCATCATTTTAGGTGGGGGAACTTGCACAATCGGTGGCTGACTAAATACTTTTTTGCCCCACTGTATGTGTTATGAGAGTATGAGTAATGTGGTCGTCAAGGGAGGGGCAAGTGGCCACCCGACCCCACCGCAGATAAAAAACTGCACCCACCCCATCATCCAATCTTCTCCCAGACTCGCAGGGTTGAGTTCATTCTCCACCTCTCCCCCACCTGCAGAGTGAGCTCCTGGAGAGAAGAGACCTCCTGAAAAGATGTAACAGCCTCCCCACCAGTTAGAGAGCCCTCCAGTTGGGCCAATGCACTAGAGGTCCCCCGCACCAGGGCTGAGCCCCATGCACCCACCCACAACCCTGGCGACACAATAACCAGGACCCAAGGCCCCAAGGCCCAGCCAGAGGTGGAGTTAATTCTGCTTCCAGAGACAAGGACCAGCTGTGGCCACAAGATGGCAGTTATGTGAAAGATGGATGCAAACAGCCGTGACTGGTAGATTTCACAGACAGGCATTGCCTGGCTTCCCTTGACAGAACTCCGCTGACATCCATCAGTGTAAATCTGAAATATTTACCTGAGAGGAACACAAGGAAAGCAGTTGGAACTGAAGAGCACGTCAATTACAAGCCAACAGTCCCACCGGTGCCGTCTATAACCTGCTGTTATGGTTCGGAGGTTCAGTTACTTTTGGTTCTTTTCAGTTTTGTAGTTTTCGCCTCCCTTTCCCTGACCTTTCTCATCCCATATCTCTGCTTTAACCATTTCCTGTTTTATCAGAATAGAATAGAATAGAATAGAATAGAATAAAATAGAATAGCCTTTATTGTCATTGTACATGTACAACAGAACTGTTGAACAAACAGCTGAAATACATACAAACCAGATGAATGTATACAAAAACAATAGAAAACATTAGAGAACAAATTGGACATTAGACACATCAGCTGTGTTTCAGCTGCTGCTACTTCCTGTCTTTTTCTCTCCTTTGAGATTGTCTGTAACTCAGTGGTGTTCCTCCTCCTGTTGTCATTTCTCAAAACGAGTTCGTTACTCGTGTCTTGGCTTCACCCACAAGAGATGCAAATGAAGGAGCTGAGGAAGAGGCAGAAGAAGAGAGGAGTGGAGGCAGCAGGTGGTGGACTAAATGAGATGTTCCCCACCTCAGAGCCTCTTTTAAAAGGATGCAAATTAAATCTGAAGTTTGGAACAACTGCATGATTAACAGTTATGTTTGCTGTATGTATGACCTCAGGTGTGACAGAGCTCATGGTCTCTATTTATTTCCTCTTTTAATTAAAATAATAATGATTGCATTTATATAGTGCTTTTCGAGAACCTCAAAGCACTTTACAATGCCACTATTCATTCACTCTCACACACTGGTGGAGGCAGCTACAGTTGCAGCCACAGCTGCCCTGGGGCAGACTGACAGAGGCGAGGCTGCCATATCGTGCCATCGGCCTCTCTGGCCAACACCAGTAGGCGGTAGGTGAAGCGTCTTGCCCAAGGACACAACGACCGAGACTGTCCAAGCCGGGGCTCGAACCGGCAACCTTCCGACTACAAGACAAACTGCCAACTCTTTGAGCCACGATCGCCCTGAACTCACAGCGTGGACCAGTGTGATAGATATCAAAGCTTTTATTCCCACACAAGGACACAGTGAAGGGAAAGAGTCCTCCCTGTGTGGATCCTCAGGCTGCGGCCTCTTTCCTAACGTGAATGTAAAAACACTCACACAGGATGTGAGTCTGTCCTGGAGACGTCCTTCACCATGGAGCACTGAGACTGATCTCAGGTCAGAGGACAGGGCGGTCCTTTGCCAGGTTCTCCTGCGTCGCAGTGGGCTTTAAGCGTGGGGGAAAGCCCCTCTTAGAAATGAGTCAGAATTTGTATTACGAGCTGTCGTAGACTTTCTCTGAAGCTGTGATCAGCTGACCTTTGTGGATTTGACAAGCTGTTAGCTGAGCTGTGATGGCTGGTTTCCAGCACCTCCACGCTGTGAAGCTGCAGTAGGAAGGCAGTGAGTTTAAATGGATGCATCACTGCAGACCTCAGCACACTGCTGTGAGCCAGCTCTGCGTGTTTGAGGTCTCTATGAGTTCTGTGTATCTTACAGTAAAAGCTCTTTAAACAACACTGGATTAAAGTCATTACACTGA